GGTGGGGTTTATATATCTGTGAGCTAAGCGACTAAGCGACTGAGCGACTAAGCAACTAAGCGACTAAGCGACTAAGCAACTATATAGTTAAGCGACTAAGCGACTAAGCGACTGAGCGACTAAGCGACTAAGCGACTGAGCGACTAAGCGACTAAGCGACTAAGCGATTAAGCGACTAAGCGACATGTTAATAATAATACAAGATAATAATATATTCTAAGATAACTAATAATAAATAATAAAATAATAAACTAATAATAAATTCGTTCTATAACAATATATTAAATTTAGTAAACATGTTTATTATTTTTTTTTGATTAATTCAGCAGTCTTACTTCTACTTTATTAGGCTTTATAATATTATACTGTGATATATTAAAATTTTTGAAGAGTATAAACTCTAATGCCACCTAAATTACAAGTATTAGCTCACCTGGCTCTTTGTAACTAGAGTTCAAATTACTTATATGTGACTTGCTATAGGCAGAATTCTCTTTTAAAATATTCCTTTTTGCACTTGAAAGAATAAATCTTCACTGGAAAACTTTCACCAGCCTGTTAAGACTACCTATTCTTCTTTCTAAACTTTTTCTACCTAGATCTGAGCAGAATAGTTTATTTTTTATTTTTCTGTAAGAGAAAAAAAAATATAGATATTTTATAAAATAGGTGGGCAAACTTCGCAAGCTCTGCAACTCTGCTAAATATTTATTAATAATTATTAATCAATAGTGTAGTTTATTTTTATATTGCCATCTATTTTATAGAATATTTAAAAATATACCACATCTATAAAAAAAAACAATACTATCTAAGAAAAAAAACAAAAAAAACAAAAAAAGAAAAAAAAACATTTAACCAAAAAAAAAGGTATTCTAAATATAGTTTTATTATAATAAGAAAAAGATAAAAAGAGCAAAAAAAAATATAGAAGTCCTGATGAACTATCTAAAAAAAAACAAACAAACAAGTAAAAAAACAAAAAAGAAAAATATACTTGTGCAAGGTATAAAGGTAAAGATTATATACTAATTGCAGCTAATTAATATATCTCAGCTATAAAGCTTTACTTTAACATTAGGATTTGTTCCAGACACATCACCAAGGTTAGGTATCTCCTAAACAAAAATATTAATCTTATTTCTGTATTGTAGTTCTATAGTAATAAACAAACACATAGTTGTATTCTACTAAGTTTATTTGAATTAGATAAGTGTAAACATTGCTGATTTTTTGAAAAAAGTAAGCTAAAATATTCACTTTTTGTCAAAATTTTTGGTGAGGTTGGCAAAATATAAGAGAGAAAAAAAAAACACTTAAAATTACTAAAAAAGTATAAGTTTACTTTTACTAGAATCAATTATCCACTCAAGCCTACACAGTACTAAGTCTTTTTGGTAAGTGATAAACTCTAAGCTTGTCAGCAAGTAGCGTATAAGAACTACTTCTAAACAACAAGTACTATGCTTGCAATTAGTGAGTGATAAACTTTGAGGCTGTTAGCAAGTAGCATATGAGAACTATCTCTAAATAATAGCTGCTGACTTATAGTTCTTTTTTCTATGTCTTACATAAAAGTTATTGACTTTACTCTAGTGTACTGTTTTTTTTCTTAATAAAAAGTTTTTAAAAAATTGTGGTTCAAATGATTATCAGAAAGAGTTTTTTGTATTATTTTCATTTTCTAATTTAATAGCATTATTTGAAATATTCAAATCTTTTAGCATCAGCTAATGCTTTTTTTCTTATTAGTTGAATTTTAATTTTATTTATATTTAGCAATACTAACAAAGTTTATTTTGATTATTTTGTAGTTGTTATTACTTCTGCTTTACTTCTTTTAATTAAATATTTAGTTATTAAATATATAAATTATTATGAATTTTCTTTAGTATACAGTAAATACTGTAGTACAATATAAAAATATTATAAAATTATTAACCCTAACCTTAATCTAACTTTAATTTAAATTATAACCCTCATCCTAACTCTAACTATCTATAAATTTGTTTAAATTAATTCAATTAATTATTTTATATTATACAGTAATCTTATAATAATTCTATAACTTTTCAATAAAAAAAAAACATATTTTTTAGATTTAAATAATATATAATTATAAAAAATATGGTATATATTTTTTAAAAAGCATATATATATATAGTTGTAAAAGATATATATTAAACTTTTAATATGTACAATTATTTTTTAATACGATCAAACCAAAAAATTGTAAAAAATATAAAAAATTTGTACAGTACGTATTGGTTTATAAATTACTATAAAAGATACAACTTAACTAATTAAATAAATTAAATTTATAAATTTTATTAAATATACCTGTATATATAGTATATATATGTCGTACAGTACGTCGGAACGAAATTATTGTAGATTTAGAATCCACTTAGGTTTGAACGGAATTCCAAATGTAGTCTAGTTGATACGAAATTTGAAGCCGACTCTATACATATATATATATATATATATATATATAGTATATATACTATATAATCGATAAATTTAATAGCAATTTAACAGTTAAGTTGACTTTAAAATCGATACTATAATAAATCATGATATATTGTCACAAATCTTTCATTATTTCTTTTTTTTATTTCACTTTTTCATTCTTTGCAACTCTCTCTACCTGATGACCGAATATTAAGATTATCCATTTTTACCCGTGATTTATTCAAAGAATTGCTTTCCAAATATTTTAGTAACGAATCGGCAAATAGACAACATAAAACTTTACGTGAAAACTTTACAAGATTCAGCAAACACAACAATCGGGGATGCAAAAAAATACATTTGCAATACGTGATTAAAATAGTATTCTTTCAATGCTCATAAGCATTTTAGGTATATAATTTAAATGCAATTGCAAAATGCATGAGACAAAAATCGCTGTAAATGTGAAAATAAATATACCCTGTAGGAATAGTTGCTATCCCACTAATCATAGAGTAAAAATTTCGTTTATGCTTTTAAATTTGATTAAATAAATCTTATCTAAGTGATTTATGAAATAATTTAGAATTCGCATAATTTTGTTGTAAATTGAATTGGAATTCTTTAACGACTTGAGCACATTTTAGAATTCTATTACAATCTATATTTATTCGGAATCGGATTCTAAATCTATAATAATTCCATTCCGACGTACGTACGACATATACAGTATAATACTATTATCAAATCTTTCTTTCTTGTCAAATTTGAAGTTTGCTTAATTGTTTTGCAACTACTATTACCAGTATAAAAACATGTCTTATGTTTATATATATAATAACAGAATTAAAATTTGATAATTAATTTAGCCATTGTTTCATAATCGTAATAAAAAAAAACCATCAAAGTTTAAACTTTTGAAAATCAGTCACCTGCTTATGGAAATGGCACAATTACAAAAAAAAATAGGTATGTACCATATATAATGCAATTAATTTTCTAATAGGATTTACCGTTTTATAGAGAAAAAACCACGTTTTTTATTTCTCTAAATTTAGGTGGTTTATAATTAAACTTTTATAATGCTGGTCAAAATTACCGTTTAATTTGTATCAGCATCAATTCTTTTTATTTAATCGAAAATATTTTTGCAAATTTAATATTTTATTTTTCATTTTGAGGGCGTTATTGCCAACAGAAAAATGGAAGGCAGTACAGTTCACACTACACAAAGTACTTCTGAAGAAAATGTAAAAACTGCCGGTTCTGCTTCTTCTTTATTTAGCGATTCTATACAGAGCCCTTTTGATTCTTTATTTTCACCCACAAATGATTCCAACTCTACAGGCCAAGATTATTGGCAATATTATTACTCACAACAGTATCAGTATGATCCTAGTCAGCAATTTGATCCTTCACAACAGTATCAGTATGATCCTAATCAGCAATATGATCCTTCAACATACGACTCATCTTCAGGTTATTATTATAATAACCAGAATTACGACCCGAATTACGACCCGAATCAAGCATATGCCCCTAATGACGCAACACACGACCCTAATCAAACCTATATTTTTAATGACGCAGCATACGACCCTAATCAAACTTATGCTTCTAATGGCGCAGCATCAGCATATGGACCTAATCAGGGTTATGACTATTCGCAGTATTATAATGAATCTAATAATGAAGCTAATGATTTAAATTCTGCAAAAGTTGATAATGATATTGCCGCAGTTACATCTGTGGAAACTATAGAAACGAATCAAGAACATAAACTATCTTCAGTAGCTTCTAATGAGGGCGAGATGAATAACTTGGAAGAAGAACAAGAAGTAAATATAGTTCACCGAAATAACGACGATATATTTGAGTATCAACCACAAGATTTAGAAGGTCCCCAAAAGGCAGAACTATCTCAAGTAGACCAACCTACATCCCAGATAGCAGATAATTCACAAATTTCGGCGGAATTGGTTGTTTCTAGAGAGCCGGAGGAAATTACTGACTTAACAAACAAAGATACAGGTAAATTGGATGATTTGGATGATTTGGTTTTAGGGCATACAACGTCAGAGACTTCACGTGAAGTATCTACGATTGAGCTAGAAACCAATCAAGCTACGAATGATCCAGCCTTGACTTATCATTATGGTTCTACTGAGCAAGTTTCATATAATTACGAATATGAAGGTTATTTAGCCGAGACATATACGCAATATGATAACAATATTGTGGGAAATAATACCAATAACTTTAACTATCCGTATACTGGGCACAATGTTAGTCAACCGACAATTGATGGGATATCTGGAATTCATCAATCTACTCATCAGTATTCAAACTATGATTCAAATCAACCTACTGTTGTTAATACACCTCCACCACAATCTTATTCACCATTTTCAGCGAAAGTAGTCGTTCAATTTGTACCTTGTTTATACCCACAATGTACGGGAGAAAATAAACCCAGTGCCAAGTTTTGTTCGGAATGTGGACGAATCATCAATGAGGTATTGTTCTTCATGACTCTAATGATAAATCATTTTTAATATACACATGGCTTTGGTTAAACAGACAGTTGGCCATACCATTTTTTTAAATTTCAAAACCTAAATTTATATACTTAATGTAAAAATGCCACTGGTTAACTGACATCTGAGTATATCGGACAATTTCATTATTTTGGAATGTGCCTATATAACCAGAGTTATGTGTATCTAATAATGTTTACCTTTATGATCATGTTGTGAATGCTTGCGTTGGTCATTTATTATTACAAATTTAACACAAATACTCAAATTCTTTTACTCTATAATCTGGTTATCAGTCCTCACCCTCGCCCATAGTTGATACGCCAAATTTATATCAAAATTCAGCAGTCCAACAGCAGTATGGAACTGATAACACGAATATTGTGAATGATCCGTTAGGAAGGTCTAAAGGGTGTCCTATTGTCGCTTTTGGTTTCGGAGGCAAAGTGTTCACCATGTTCCCTCGCACGGTCCAACGCTTTACTAGTACGGACCAAAGTATACCTATTACAAAATATACCCCAGGTGCTTTTATAATTCGCACTTTAAAGGATATAATTCCATCGTCAGATCTCGAGGATTTCCCTGGCCCTCTTCTTATGGATAATAATCGAGGAGGTATAAAAGCAAAAAGAAAGCATGTAATAAAATATTTGGATGATCAAATAAAGGTTGCAGAAGATGTACTGAACTCTTTTGCCGGCGAAGAAGTTGAAAAAAAGAATTCGGAAGCTAATACTATTATTTGGCACTTGCTTAAAATCATGTTTGAACATGATGGTGTTCTAACTGGAAGGTTAGTTATACGGGTCTTAATGTAAAATGTCATGGGAGCCTTTTTATCATTTACTTTTTTGTTTATTGATATAACCATGACTTTCTCATTTGTAACAGTCCAAAAGTTGAAGAGGCTGTACGTCATGTTTTGGCACCATCTACTACTAAAACGAAACAAGATGATGAATCAAATTTTACGGTTCCAGCCGATTCGAACTTTGATTCCACACCAAGTCTACCAGAATCATCCACACCTCAGTCCATGACATACTCCATTACTCCAAAAACCATTGACACATTGCAAGAACTATTACTTAAAGGAGACCGTGTTGCTGCTATAAATCATGCGGTGAATAACAATTTATGGGCTCATGCTCTGATCATTGCGAGCTGCGTCAATAAAGATCAATGGAAAGAGGTTGTAAACGATTTTATAAGACATGAATTAGGCTCACAACTGAATGATGCTTCGCAATCTAACGGGAGAGAATGTTTAAGAGTTTTGTATTCTTTATTTGCTGGGAATGGACCGAGTTCGGGTATATATATATATATATATTATTTTTGTATATGAGTTATTATTATTATTATTATTATTATTATTATTTAAGATTCCTATCCTGATATTTTAATTCATTTAATACTATCATTTTTTTAGTCAACCAATTTCTTCCCCATTCAACATTGCTCAATCGTGTAACTCAGCCTTCTCCTACAACCATATTTCCACTCGTTCCTCCAACAACAAATGCTGCACAGTTGAATACTTCTGCCAACTTACAGTATAGTCCTGCAACTATGAACCCCTTATATTCTTCAGCTACATGTGATATTCCAATTGAGAGTTTGGAGAAATGGCGTGAAACTTTAGCGATTATTTTAGCAAATCGATCGCCAGGTGACAATCAAGCAATATCTGCTTTAGGTGATATGCTAAAAGAATTTGGATGGATTAATGCTGCTCATGTATGGTACGTATTATAAATCTATTTTAATAATATTTTGTGGAGTAATATTTCTAGGTATTATTAACTAACTAAAAATGTTGAATTATTTATAAGCTACATATTGTCTCCTCAATCATCCACCCAGTCTGGAATTGATGATGTTAATTCCCGTTTCACACTCGTGAGCAATGACTACATTTGTAATCAGTCTAGTCGCTTTTTTTGCGATTGGAAAGCGCTGCGTCTCACTGAAATTTATGAGCTTGGACTCTCGTTAAATAATAATGATGGCTTACCATTTTTACAAGCATACAAATTGCTCTATGCATGGTGGTTGGTGGATTGTGGTTATTTGAATGAAGCTAGAAGGCAAGAAAATGATTATTATCAATATTGATTTCATTTATCGCTGTTCTAATTATAAACATTATGTATAGATATTGTGAATCTATTGCAAATATAGTAAAGGTATATACAAAAGGTTCACCATATTTTCATGGCTGCTTCTTACAAAACTTGAAAGACTTAACTCAAAGGCTACTTGAACATGGCGGCAATAGTTCTGGGTAAGCTTAATAAGTTTTAATAATAAATAATGTCATAATTCACTGACTGTTTTGTTAAATTTTCATATTAAACAGAAATAATGAGTCATCGTCCTGGCTATTCGCCAAAAAAATGCCTAAAGCGGCTCTTGATTCTTTATGGGATTCACTTGAAGTGAAATTCAATAGGTTTGTTGCAGGTGATGCCATGGATGAAAATGGACAAAACCAATCATCATCATCAATATCTCAAGAGACTGTCGGACCTTTCTCCCACTTTAGTGCCATTACCCAACAGACTTCCAATGTTCCGTCTCGTAGTGTGTCAGCAGCTGAGTTTCGATCGATCTCAGATTCAAACCATGAAGAACGACGTTCAACTACACCTAATGCTAGATTACAAAAACAAATAAATGGACATCAACGAAGATCGTCAACACCTGGTGTTGGTGTACAAACTACTGAATACATGAATGGTGGATATAATTATAGTGAATTTAGCCCCGCAGCTTCAGACGGACAGATTTCAATGTCACCTGTGCCTGAAGACAAATCATCTTATATTACACCGGCAATAGATAATAGTAATAGTCATTTCGGAACCTATGGTATACAGGGTACTGGTGGCAAGGAGCAACATAAGGGTGCTGGGGGTTATAATAATTCAAATTATAATATGTATCAACAATCACAACAGAATGAAAACGGACATTCATATGGTTCTGTTCCATATGGTCAACAGTCAACGCAAAGTGAATACAATTATTCATCATGGTCGGACAATTCAGGCATTGACGCAAATAAACAACAAGTCACGTATCCATATTATCAACCAGTTGGGAATTCTGATACGTCTTATACAAATGATTCTGCATGGTGGAATAATCCCAGCCCTTATACTAATGACGATGTCTCAAAACAGGACCAAATTACAACTAATAATAATGAGGAAGGGAATTTTATCTCGCCCATGGACAATAGTAATTTATCATTCGCACCAACTTCAGCACCAATCGGCACCTCAACAGGACGTAATAATGAATGGGATAATACAGATGAAGATTTAGGGTTAGGAAATAATGCCTTTAATGCCAAAAAGAAAGAAAAGGAAACAGATGATAATGATCATGAATCTACTGAGAAAGTAACTCAGGAGCCAGAACAGCCGAAAGAAGAGAAAAAAGGTATGCTTTAGGATTTATCTTATATAATTATATATTAGAGTCTCGTTCTGTTCTTAATATACTGAACATAAAATTTTGCTCTATTAGAAGAAAAGTCTGGATGGTTTTTTGGTAGGTTCTTCGGAAAGAAAGAAGGCAGTGGTAAAGTTGCTAATTTGGGAGAAGAAAGTTCGTTTTATTTCGATCCGGTTCAACAAAGATGGGTCAACAAAAAGGTAAAGTTTCTATTCGTCAATTCACGTATATTTACATTAAATTACCGCACAGTATCTTAATCATATTATTCGTGTTATTACTACTTATAGGGTGGTACGGATACACCTACGGCTTCAACTCCTCCTCCACCACAGCCAATGCGCGCCAAAACTACATCACCTACGCCATCTGCATCAATGATGAGTTCAAATTCAAACTTACAGTCAACCCCACCTCCAATTACCAATAGACAATCGTTGCCACCTATAAATGCACCAGGTGGAAATGTTTCAGCACCACCACTTAAGCAGAGAAGCGTGTCTAGTGCTAGTACACGGCGTCCTATTCGATCGAGATATGTGGACATTATGAATCAACCACCACCATCTCCAAAATGAGGTTGATATCAAAAAGTATTATATACCATGGAATATTTATCAACTTACACGTTATTTTGTATAGTCGAGTTTAAATTGATATACATACATATATATATTGTATTTTGAAATTTTTATTAGAACTTATTAATCTTGATATATATGTCATAATGTAGTTTTGGTTCATTTGATAATTTTATATTTGATTCAATTTTAAACAATCCGTATTAGGTATTTTTTAATTTTATTAAAATTCTTTTTTATAATAAGTACCTTTATTAGATAACTTTGTATATACTCGGTAAAAGACAAAAATCGAATAAATTTTATTTTTGTATAAAAGTTTCTATTTTAAGTATATATTTTGATATAATATGTTTAATATTGACAATAATAATAATTAATATATTACCACGTGAAAAGTTTCAAAATTTATATTATCCCACAGCTCAGAAAGGTTGTAATATACTACATAAAAATTAATAAAAGTTATATATATATAGTCTAGCCAATAATAATTAATGAATTTTTGTACTTGTATGCTATTCCAGTCCAATTAAATGGTAAGCCAATTCTACAAATGCGAAAATTACCTGAAAAATCATAAGCCTTTAGTATTTGAATAATTGATTAAAAAAGCAAACGAACAAAAAAAATGGTTAACTTACAGGTTGCCATACTATCAAATAACGAACGCCATCAAGAAGACTTAGGTATAGTTGTTGTTGTGTATCCCATCTATAAATTTAACGATTTGGATTTTTAAAAAAAATTATTTGTATGTAATTCATACAAATATAATTGAGTAAAAGCTTTGCACTAACGGGTTTGTTTTGAATTCTTTCATATCAACTTTTTCTTTACTATGTAAAGCAGCAAAAATAAGAATTAATAATTAAAATAGATATAGATGTAAATGAAGAAATAAATTTGAATTCACACACCAATATGGACAAATATCTTTTTTGCCTATTAAACACCACCCACGTATACAATCATTATGAAAAACATGTCGACATGCCAGTTGAAAAACATTCTGTTGTTCTCCTGCTTCATTTGTTCCATTTGCAGCTACACCACATATCGCACATATATTTGCTCTAAGGTGTTTTCGTGGAAATCCATCTTTGTTATAATATCCAAGAGTAGACGCCATTCTATCCGTACATATTTCAACAAAATCTCTACTTAAAACACTAAATGATCGAAGAGAGTTATAAAATTAAAATTGATATTGCTTTTAACTGTAATCTAGTAATAATAATAATTATAATAATATATGTATATACCCAAAATATAATCCGTAACATAAAAGCAAGACTCCAAGTTCTATAACTTCAGGTCCCGTATAAAATAACTGGATTATCCCGAAAAATGTGAACATAATTATCGAATATCCAGTGATTCCCACAGCATATGACACTTTGTAAACAATAGAAAACCATTTGTAAACTAATCTAAGAATAAAAAAAATAAAAAAATAAGATGATTTAGTCTTGTGATTAGTGCAAATGTAATTATTGATCATGATTAGTGTATAGGTACCTTGGTGTTTTGTGATCTAGAGGTTTTCTAGATGCCAAATATAAAACTTTGAAAAATTAATTTATATGATCGCTTAATGAGATTTAGAAGATGTATGATCATAATGAATTACATTCACTTACTACATGAATTAACTATTGAATATAAAACCCAAATCGTCAAAAATCTCCAAAAATGAGCTTGAATTCCAAAAATATACATTGGTATCAACCTTCAAAATAAAGCATAATAAAGCAAATAAGAAAAAGATCTTCAGAATATTAGCACAAAAATAATGCATACCATAAGCCAACCAACGTAACCAGCTGGAAGGAGCGATAATGTCGTTGTTTCCAATAGAGAATCACTAATTGAAAACCTAATAGGGCACCTAGAAGAATTAGAGCCATTGTTCCATGTCGACCAACGTGTGGCTCATCAAATTCAGTGCCAGGATCCAGCCCTGATTCGTTGTTGTGACTATGAAATTGAAATGAGCCAAACTTATTATGTTTGCGATTTTATGATCAGATAAGAATGGGGTGGTTTGCAACTCGAACCTCTCATTTAAAGCAGAACTGTCATTTATTTGGCCCGTGGCGGCCAGAATATCATTAATTTCCGACATCTTTGTACTAGATCGTTATAATTATTAAACTTGCGTGGTTTTTGTGAATATCTAATTCTTTGTTTAACGTAATAGCAAAAAAAAAGAATTCTTATGTTTCATTATTTACATGTCTGCATTTAGCCATGCGCTGTCGAATATTCATTCATCCAGTTATGATTGGATTATTAACTCGAATATTTATAATATTTATAATATTTATTCATTTTTGATTGGACTGATAAAAAAAAAAACAAAATGGCTTTTCTCGGCTTTCGTAGATTTCCTACACCAATTATAAGACCTATGTGGCCTTTTATGATAAGTGGAACTATTGTACTTTATCTCGTTCACAAAATTGAAAAAGCAGGGCAGTCTGGTATAAATCAATACATTGTGTATACTTTCTGTATATCATAATCATGCGTTAAATGTTAAAATGTGAAATTTTTCTTCTACACTTTATAGTTCCTCCCTATGATATCGATCCTCGCAATCCACGGGGTATGTATAGAATATAGCAAATAAAAACAAAATATATTATTTGACTAACGTATGAATTTATATTAGCTTTGCACAATAAAAAATTAAGAGAACACGCTGAGCATTAAAGAAATTTTGGTTATCTTTACTGATTTCAATAAATTGAAGCAACATGTTAAAGTGCATTTATGCTTTGGCATAGCAGAAAGTGTTGTCAGACTTAATTTTTAATTTATTCGTATAATTTGTTCTAGTGAACAATGTGCTTGTGTATTCAGTCTATTCACATGCTTTATTAGATAGCATTTATCAAAAATGCGAATTATATTAATCGACTTCAACATACATGCACCGAAATGTCGTATGAAATCTTCGTGGATAACCTAGCATTCAATTCATGGGTATGGGATACTATCAATATTCAGACAATTACCGGTAGTAAGCGTCGATGTTATTATTAGCCTTAAACCCAATACTTTTATATCAGCTTACTTAGTCTTAAGTCCATTTAACCTTAGCCTTGAGTCCAATCGATCCAAATTCATACATCAAACTTCTCGTGTAATTTTACTAAGTAATCTTTTACAATCGTAAGAATTTTATTTAAAAGGTTTCTAGTAACAAGTAACAGTATGTGACCTTTAATATTATTGTGCTAAAAATTCTTTAGAAATATGTATAAATTCTAGTATGATAACTATTTGCAAAGTTTGTAAAATATTGAGTAAAAACAATAAACCAAAAAAAATAGAAAAATTAAACGTAGAACCTTATTCACATATTAAGTCTCTCTTTTTATTAATTTATATATATATATATATATATATTTTTATATACTTATTTTTATAAATAGGCCAACACTAACCAATAATTATCAAACCAGCCCAACTAATTCAACCATTAAACATAAATGATCAGAATTAAATTTATAATTAGGTAAAAGTGGTAATAGTTCTTCTTCTGGTGGCATTTTTAATAATTTCGTGACTTTAACTTTAGAACTGACATTTTTATCAATGTCTTCATTATTTCGATTGTCATCATTTTGACAAAAAAGAAAAATATAATCTAAAGCTCCTTTGAAGTACAGCCCATAAATTGTGAATTTTGGTTCAGAATAAATAGTATTTTCGGGATCTATTGAATTCAGGTGTTGTGCATACAATGATACGCAAGATGGGAGGCTTGCAAATTTTGAAAGTAGCTCGGGAAGTGTTGGTTTAAATTGAATTGCCGATTCGGTTTGTGCATTCCCTACACTCATTGATGGTAATGTTTGCTGTGTAATTTGTATCGGAGAAGAAATAGAAGAAGAGTTTTTTAACAAACCTGTGTCATTATCACTTATCATCGAGTCAACACTGTTTTCAACCATATCTTCTGTTGAAGGAGGGTCGTCAGAAGTCGAATCCTCACCGAAAGGCCTCATAGAAGCTTTCAAGTTCAAAATTTCGTCCTCAGTTAATGATGTGTTCTTTACCATCAACTTATAAGTAGGATCTGTTGGTGGCGAGTTGAAATCTAATGATGATAAAAAAAAATATTAAAATTCGTAATTTAAGTATTTTAAGAACGAATAACTTCTAATCCATCCAAAATCTATACCTACCACCAGCCAATATTGTCTCGAAACCAAATTCCTCTTTAAACTTTAGTAAATTTTCACAAAGTATTAAACATTGTCTTACACGTTCATACATGCTTTGAGGTCTCCAATAGAGATGAGTTGTTCCTATAACTAGTCCCGAATTTGAGGAGTTTAATTCATCTGGAAGAGTCTCACAACATTTGAGAGAAACAATAAGGCCTATACAATTTGTTGTCATAGTAGGTATCCCAAACCTGTCAAATTCGATAGTGAGATCACTTAATTTTGTAAACTTGGATCGCTTCCAGATTATACAACAACCTAAAATAAAAAGACGTAATTTTCTTTTTATATAAAAGAATAATATATAATATTGATTACATTTAAGGTCATACCATGGTTTTTACCAATTCCTGAGAAACATGTTTCATATCCAGCATTCTCAAATTCAGGTTTAAAAGTATCAACATAATTAGAATGATCCATTTCTTGAAAACAAGAGACATCGGGTTCATAATGTAATATCTCCTTTAGCAAACGAGGGCGACGGTGTTTCCACTTAATTGCATCACCAGATTCAGGAAAAATTTCCCTACGAACAAGGGATTGTGCAAGAAGCTATAGTAATTAAAATGTTAAATGAGCATATAAAAGGGATCCTTTAAGAAATTATCGAAATATATATACGTTATAAGTCATAATTGTTATTCTTTTTTGGTCAGTTTCCTGTGCGTTTGAAGATAAGACAGGAACCATTTGCCGCACAATAGGTTCACTTGGTACTTCTTGTGGAGGTTGTTGGTTGTCTACTGGCATTTTATCTTTTTTACGTTTTTCCTTCTGCTCCTTTTTGGCTGTTCTTTTGCGTTTTTTAGGTGTTTGATCTAATGAGCCATACGTCTCTTCTGCCGGAATTACCTGCGATTCTGGTGTATTACCACTATGCATTTTTGTTTTAAACGCAATAGTAGAAAGAATTGAATCCGTCCTCAAATAATATTACAGGAAAGACCACAGAACCGAACCGAAAACTCGTAGATATCTCATTTTAAAAAATTTTAAAGGTTAAAAGAGGCACGAGTTTTAAATACGTATAAATGATTTAATATATACTTATTAATACTACGTAGGATTAAATTAAATGCAGGGACACGGAATCTATAAGAATTTCGATAAATGCAAAGTTAATGGATATGATTTCACTTTTTGTACTACCGGTAGTATATTTGTTAAAATGTTTTAAAAATCCAAAAAATTATATTTCTAAAAAATTTTTATATACAAAAATCTGATAAATACTATAGTTTAGTTTGGCAAAATTTTTTTTAATATTATTAATAAAG